GTTACCATAGAACTGTGTTTTTGGGCAAAACAGTTTTCCAGAAGGTGAGGGGAGAAATCACTGTTTATACTGTATAAGTATTTATAGGAAGATAATCCCTTTTCCACCAAACCATATGAATTATGTTTGTCTTTTAATGTATTTGGTACAGGGTCTCACTACGCAGCCCAGACTTGTAGTGATCCTTCTGTTTTCAGCCTCCCCAGCACTGGGATTACAGTCATGTGCCACCATGCCCAGTCTGTCGGCGCAGCGTGCCTGAGGGCAGTGCTGGCGTGGCATGTGGCACCGGGGATCCAATGCTGGTCCCTACACTTGCCTAAGCAGGTGCTCAGTCTGCTGAGCTATCTTGCTGGCCCTTGTTTATAAAGACAGATAAATTGCATTTAATACTAATTGGGAAAATAATTATTCAACTTACGCTTTTTTATTGGGTAGTGCTGGGGGGCACGTCAAACCGAGGGTCGTAGTCAGTATGTGTGCTGGGAAACTATCTTACTAAGCTATACCCACAGCAAGTTCACTATCTTTTATGACATTTGTTGACTGAAGTCTATGAGATTTCTTTCCTACTTATATTGTTTATTAATAAAATATTTGAAGGCATCAGCCATTTCTTTATTACCCCTTTTTGCAAAAAACATTTTTTTTTTAAATTTTAGTAAGGGTCTACAGGGTCTCACTATGTAGATCTGACTTGTAGTGTTTTGCCTGTGTTCAGCCCCCTAAGAGCTGGGATTACAGGCGTGCACCACCACGCCCAGTCTCAATTGCCATCTCAGCAAGCCCCAGGGGCGGGGCCGGCACAGCAAGCCAGGGATTGAACTCCCGCAGCTGTGTCTGCCTAAGCAAGCACTTTAATCTGCTGAGCTATTTGGCTGGCCCTGCAAAAACTTTTTTGAGTTAGGCATTGTGCTGGCATCTCTGTAATTCTAGTACTCTGGAAGGCTGAGGTGGGAGGACTGCAAATTTTTGTCTAACCTGAGCAACACACAATCTTAAGAGGCAGTTTTCAAAATAAAAACAAAATGAGCTGGGGATGTAGTTCAGGCAAAGGCCTTGGAGTTCAATCTTCCTCCCTGCAAAAATAAAAAATAAAACAAAACAAAACATGAAAAGTACCAAACTTGTTATTCTGATAGCTTAATTTTCCACATGAATTTATATAAATCTCATTACTTTCTGTGAAAATTCTTTTGAGATTTTTTTTTTTTTTTTTTTTTTTTTTTTTGTACTGGGGAATAGAACTCAGGACCTTGCACTTGCCAGGCAGGCACCTAAGCCACCTAGCTCTCTCTCTAGCTCTGTTGAGATTTAAATAAATATATATAAATAATATTGGGAGAAGTGATTTTAGAAAAAATAAGTCTCTGTGTTCAGGTTTAACACATGTCTCCTTTTAAGTTTTACATCTCAGATTTCAGTGTAATAACTATCTTTACAGTATCACAAATAAACCTTAACAGTTCCCTAAGTATCTTAGAATTTTACTGCTAATGTTAATCTGATCTTCTGTACTTTATAGCTATATACATAAGATTCAACTCAACATTTGGTTTTATAAAGATATAATCATATAATACACTATTCTACTTTTAAAAAGTTAGGGGCTGTGGTAGTAGCTCAGGGGCATGGTGTCTACCTGGCAAGAGTGAGGCCCTGAGTTTGATTCCTAGTTATAACAAAAGAAGAAAGTTAAAGTGTTTAATGTTTACTGCAGTATTTAGAAGATCTAAACAAATCAAAAAGTGGCTGGCAAAAACATGGATCCTTATATTACCGTTACTGTACTTTAAGTTTTCATGGAGCTAATTTTATAAAGTGTGAGCAGTAGCTCTTAATTACCAATCCTAGTGTAACTTACTCTGCTCTTGTCCACAGGATTGTGGGTAGTTACCATGTGGTTCCCTCATGCATAAAGAATTAGCCCAGATTAGTGTTTTTCAAAGTCTTTGAGCAAAAGCTAGGCAGCAAGGTAAGGCTGAACTGGTAGGGTCTTAGACCAAAATAAGTACATTTCTATCCACCTTTGATAAAATGTCTTAATGCTAAAAAATTTTAACCTTTATGTCTAATATCATACATGCCATTTAAAGTCTGTTTTTGGAGCTAGAAGTACAGCTCAGTAGTACAGGGTAATTTTAGCATGTGGGAGGCTCCAGGTCCAATGCCCAGTACTCCTCATCCAATTGGAAATTCTGCAGTTAAGTCCTATCTATCTCACTTCTATAATGGTATCCACAATACAGCCACTATTTCTAAAGTTTAACAAATGAGGAAAAGCAGAATTAAAAATTGAATATGTAATCATTCAAAAATATACAACCATACACAGGAGCTGGGGAAATGGCTCAGTAGAATAAGCGCTTCCCTAGCAAGTGCAAAGGTCTGAGTTCAATCCCTGGTTCCACCAAAAAACCAAACCAAACCAAAAAAAAGTAAACACAAAGACAGGGAAGAGACCACTTCGAGCAACAAGGACTCTACCTATGATATAGTATGTGCTCAATAAAGTTACAAAAGGACTAAAAAATATACAAAAATGTATTTCAAGATGGTTGATGCAGAAATATGCTCTTAGATCTTTTTATGGTGAGATTATATTATTTTGGTAATCAGGGAAATTACTATATCAAACTGAAATTTCTCAAAAATATGAAAACAGACTCATTATCTTTATATACAGGTGCTTCTTGACTTACATGATTATATGTCATAAGTATATCAAAATTAGAAACCACTATAAGTCAAAATGCCTTAGCACGTCTAACCTTTTTAACATCCAGGCTTAGCACCAACATGCACTATGGAATGCCAACATGTCTGTAATGGTGTGGCTGACTGGAAAGGCTGCCTGCTGTACTGCCCAGCCTCACAAGAAAGAAGCTAAAAGCAGACTGTTAGCCTAGGAAAGATCAAACCCCAAACATGGGTCTACTGAATACCTATCACTTTTGCATCAGTTGAAAGTCAAAAGGCTAGTAAGGTCAACTATGCTAAGCTGGGTACTGTCTCTGCATGGTAACGTCTCAGCTACCATTCTTTAACTCTAGTTTCTTTATACTTAAATTTTTAACACCAAGTCTTGCTATGTGGTTCAGGTTGGCCTTGAATTCACTATGTAGTCCAAGCCAGTCGAATTCATGTTAATCCTCCTGCCTCTGCCTCTGGAGCGCCAGGATTACAGGTGTGAGCCACCGTACCTGGTAGCCTTTCAATTCTTGAAACTACTCTGCATCTAAATAGTAAATGAATCTTTCTTAAATACCTAGTCTCATATTTCCTATATAAATATATTTTCTATTTACTTAGCTTTATATACCAAGTCTCAAATTCTTTAGTTTTACAACCTATATCCAATCTCATTGTCAAACTAAACAGCTCACAGTCCCCTGAAAGTAATAGGGTCGCTCATTTTTCTGATCTTAGTAAATGTTACAGAATATTTGGCCTTGTGCTTACTGAAACATAGTGGAAACTTAGTTTCTCCTGTGACACCTCTTAGAATATGCTTTTTGAACAGCTTTTTACTTTTATTCCTTTTAGTTCCAAATCTATTTCAAGTAATTTAGTGTTTGCCACCTCAAGTCTCAGAGTTCTTGGTGCCAAAGAATTTATAGCCTTCTAACATCAACTAAGCCTGGAAAGGCCATCAGATCGAGAATTCTGATTTATACTGTACTTATTTTGTTGTCTCCACTTCTAGCCTTTGAGCATTCATTAAACACTCATTAAAAGGAAAACACTTTGAAACCAACCACTACATCACATGCTGTAGGCAGGTAGCAATCAAGCCTTCTAATTTAGTTTTTCTAACTTTTTACAGCAAATTCCAAAATATCCTATATATTTCCATTTAAAAATAAATATTGCTAACACCATTGGGCAAGTAAGACATATGGCAATATAGAATGCTTTGGTAGCACTATGGCTGTGACTTAAATTACTGTGGATCAAACTGCCAGAAGCTGAGAAGATAACTGAATTTTCCTCTTCCTTTATCCTCTAGTGAGGATAGAAGATAACTGTATCATGCTTATCGATGAAAATATTTAACAATAAAAAACTGAAAACACTTCTTTATAACTTAAATAATATAGTCTTACTACCAAATGTTTTAGTCATAGGATCTCTTGGAAGCTTGAATGGAAGCAAACTTTAGGGTTTTAATTATGGATGAAGCCACACAATTCTGGAAGAAGCAAAGTATAGCAAGCAGCCAAAAATGTTACACATATGATTTTACTCCAAATGGGCACATTGGCCAAATGGTGAGGCCCTGCGTAATCATAGACTTTGACCACCTACTCTATAACCATCCAAAGAGATCTGGGAAATCTGTTATTATAGGCAGGAATTCTGTGCATTGACTGTGGCTCCAGTGGGGAAAAATCAAATTCTTCTTTTTTTTATAATGCTTAATAGTTTGGAGTTGGATCTAAACATATTACAGGCACTTTTAAGTCTTTGAGGATCTCTCTTCAAGTAAAAGATGGAAAATGGAAATGTACATCTTTTATTTTTACTTCTTGCACAAAGGTTATCTTAATGTGCCTTCTGTTGTCATTGATTTTCTAGTTGACTGAATATATTTAGCATATGAACACTTCATTTTTTTTCACTTAAAATGAGAATGTGTATAAGTGCTATTTAACTAATATGGGTTTAAAAATAAGATGTTGCCTGGTGTGGTGGTGCATGCCAATAATCCCAGTACTCTAGGAGGCAGCGAGGCAGGAGGATTACAAGTTTGAGCCTAGCCTGGGCAACTTAATGATTTAGGAAGACTCTATCTCAAAATATACAAATAAAGGGCTGAGAATGTAGCTCTGAATGAAGGTCATGGGTTCAAGCCCCAGAACTAAAAGAAGAAAAAAAAAAGATACTCATTAATTCTACTCACTACTCCAGACAAAGACTATATAAATTAAAATTGTAAAATTCATGTAACGTTTTTGAAAAAGTGGGAAAATCTTAATATACACACCATGGAAACTTACCTTTAAAAGGCTAAGATTCCTTTTGAAAGCTGTTTCAGCTTGCTGCTGAGAGGGCTTTTCTGTGTTTTGATTTCCCAATTTACTCTCCATTTGTTGAAGTAACATCAATCTTTGCGATACTCTAGAGATTAAGATGAAAAGATGTTAAAAGCAAACACTGCATTGCCTGACCAAAATTCAAAATTTACTTCTTTATTGCTTCTCACTTAACCTGTCTTGAAAGTTCGTTACTATGTCAATTAATGCAACAATGAAAAACTTAGTTCAGGAACTCTGAAGTCAGTGGTAGCAGGTATTAATGTATGAGTTGTTTTTCCTAAACTGAGATCTCAACATTCAGGCTTAATTGCAATATTGGCATTTTGTGATAAATAACTGGGTTTTGGGTTGGAGTTTGGGCACTCATCTCTAAAAGGTTTACCATCACTATCTTAAGTCAATCTGGGTAAAATTTATTTATTCTCATTAACATTCTTCAAATGTGTGTCATAAAGATATGATTCTGTTTCGTAGCCTCTGGTCTTTCGAAATTATTTTAGACTGTTGAAGATATGTTTTAATTTTTGGTGAAAATGCAAACTGTAATACATATCTCCTTGTACACATAGTTATATATACCTCCCCACACACATACATTGATATAACTTGCTATATGAAACCTTCTGCTTAACACTTCAGTACCCCTGAATCTCATGTTACACATTTAGAATTGTGCTAAACTTCCATATGTTTGAAGAAGCAATAAAAATATTTTTTCCTCTTTTTCCAAGAGAAAGATGATGGGTTGATATATGAGTGAGAGGCAATGTGTATATATACTGTACATGCTCATAAGAAGGTACAACAGTAACTGAAGAGAGATGCAAAAAGTTATAAGTAAATTTCACCCTACTTTACCATATATAATATACTTCAAAAGTGTGTTTCTGGTCAAATGCTTCTTTTACACATCCATGAATTCTCTTAAATGATGAAAAATACAGCAACATCATATATAAGTTTAACTTTTTCCCTGATTGTTGTGATTGTTTTGAAGAAATGTTGTTTCATATAGATTATCTTATAAATACAAGTAAACTCTGAGGTCTTTAATGCATTTTTTTAAGAAAAATATTTTTTAAGACCAACGAAGAGTGTCTGGTAATTAATTAAAGAAAACCAAAGCTAGAAGGCCCACACACAGAGGAAGAGAATCAATATTAAATGTTGGAACAGAAGTGGCTACACAATTTTTAGGAACTGGGATGAAATAACAGAAAACTGTGATATTAGAGTTTCAAACTAAGTGTGGGGGCTGTGACTGTATAGGTCACATAACTATGGAAACCATGACAGAAATGGGTAAGAAATTTAGTTAAGTCCACTAACTACCAATGGGGGAACTGGAAGTGGGGGAACAGGAAAGATGAATTTACCTAGCAATTAGTAACAAAATGTAAGGCAACAAAAATATTTCATACCCTTTAATCTTGGTTATTTTTTTTGGCTGGTTGGTTACTCTCAAGAGACACTAAAAAAAAATAAAAATAAAAATAAAGAGACACTTACATTCCCTATATGAAAATCTCAAGCATTACAAAATTAAAATAACAAACTTTTACATTTTGTGTTCTCAATATGTTTCAACAATAAAAGCAGTATAAGCCTCTTAAGATTATCCTCTTAAAAAACTTACATTTTCTCATGTCTTTTAGAAAGGCGAATTTCTTGAGTGAACAAGGAGGTCATCTTTAATCAAAGCTGTTGCACACTTTCTGGTAAATAATAAAACACTTAAAGTTACTCGTGTCACACGTGCTCAACTTTGCAGTACTTGATCATTTGCTACTTCAATCTATTGGTGTTCTCAGAAGAAAAATAACCTCTCTGTCCAATAATGCATAAAATCAAAGAGTACATTTAGTGGCATCTTAATTTGGGATCCCGTTCTCAATCTGCCATAGTCATCCAAGAACACCACAAACCAGGTAGACTCAACATATTTCACATTTCCCCCTCGAGAGGCTAACCTTAATCCGAACTAAAAACAAACAAGCAGCTGGTACCAAGACTAGCGAACGTTCTACTGTATCAACAGACAGAAACAACTCCGCTGTCAAATTCAACACGGGAACACCATCTCCTGTGCGTGCGCACACCCAGACAGACAGGCAAACAAGCACGAGAATCAACTGGAAGCGCACGGTCTCTCTCTTCTTGGAAGACCGCCAGTCCCACCATCTCTCTTCCAGCCGGAAAGTACTCTTCCCGGTGGCTGCGAGGAAAGCACCCCAAGTACCTGCCCCGGCCCCGGCCCCGCGGCGCTCTGCAGAGCGGGGGAACCCTGCCCGCGCCTCCACCCCGCCGGGAGGGGCGCAGCGTGGCGTGGGCCCGGGCGCTGGCCCCCGCGCGGGCC